CGCCGCCGCTGTCGCCGTCGCCGTCGCCGTCGTCACCGCTGCCACTGCCGCTATAACCGACGTCGACGACGCCGACGCTGCCGCCGCCGCCGCTATTCTCCGCGTGCACCCACTAGCCCCACTCGCCAGTAGGTCGCCGATCATCGTGGCAAGTCGCTGAATGCAAGGCTAGAAGAGAGCACCGCACTGGAGATCGTCACCAATGAGTTTGGCCTGCTGTTCGCTGCTGCCTCTCTAACTAATCGCAAGCGTGTGTGATGCCCGGGAGCCGCTCCAGCACGGACCCAGAGCACAAGTCACCGCGGGAAAGTGGTGAAGACTCGGAGGATGAGAGCGAGATCCTGGAGGAGAGCCCGTGCGGGCGGTGGCTTAAGCGCCGGGAAGAGGTATAAGTTCTGTCCCAACTACGCCTAACTGCGCCTCCTCCCGTTCGCTCCCACACTTGTTCCTCCGCTCCGCTCCGCCTCGCCAAGGTACAGGCACCCTGGCATGCACGGGTCGCTCGGAGCTTGTGCACCTTCCTGGTGTGCCGGGGGATGCCACGAGAACGGAAGACGTTCCGTCCTTCCGCATCTCTGCGACTTTCGCTCCTTTGGTTTCATTTGTAGTAGCAGTTGATTCGTTCATTAGCAGCTGCCATACGAATTTCATTTGTCCCAACACATTTGTCATCGTTGAAACTGAGGGCCTGTTGAGATTTTGGGCTTCAGTGGGCGTTATTCGCCCTTGCTGGGTTATTATCTCACGAATCTCAAAAGATAAAGGGAGATAAAACAAGACAAAGTAATGCCCACTGGGCATTGGTAGGCACTGTGCATGATTTTGGTCAGCGGTTTACCCCTCGGTTGAAACGCATTAAATCCTAAAAGGTTGAGATGTGTCGTGTAGATTCCAACTACTTGAATAATTGATGATTTCACGAAGTGAAACGAATTGTTTGAATGCGAATAATTATAATACGCCAGGTTTCAGTCAGAGCTGCTTTCTTGGAGCCTAACAGTAATATTAATTCTGCGTGAATTTTGGTTTTATTCAAACTTGGTACAAACTGTTACTACATCAAACATCACTTGCTGGAGAAGTAAAGCCCACATGCTTCCAATCGAATGAACGATTTTAATTTTTCTCGCATGTATCTTGTTTACTGCTGTCCATTTCTACCGATGCGAATTAATCTCGGTTTGACTTTCTTCTTATCCTTTTCTAGTTCTAAGAGTTGGGTAAAGATGGAAGGGGCGAATTAAACCGAGATAAAAACCACATTGGCAGAGGTGGACACGCGAAGAATTGATTTTAACTACGTGCTGAGAGCTATCAGAGACGCACCGTGATAATTTACATGTTGACGTCGAAGTTCCTGTTTGTAAATTAAAAAAACATTCGCTTGCGCAACGTTCTCCAAACATAATGCTAGACTATAATTACACTGTGACTTGTAAATATATTTAGAAGGATAGAAGTAAAGACACCTCCCCTCCCCCAGTTATGTCTTATTCGCGCGTCTCTGTGGTTTAATGTACAAATGTCTCTCGACCAGCGTCGGTGCTCGCTCGAATATAAATCTGTTTAAGCGCTCTTTGGTTTTCAATCGCGTTGCAAGTAGCAGCCCAACTCATTTCACCTTGCATCTATACAGGTGGTTGTGTGTACTCAGATGGTGCTGTTGCAAAGAGGCCTTTGGATTACAGAGATTTTCCTCCGTGTGTGATGTCTCTTGTTTTATTTTTTTTCTCATTATTGCGCCGCTCTCGTTGTAGCTCGTCTCAGTGCCTTAACTCACACCGAAATTTCTTGGCACAAATGCCTAACCATTAGGGCTCATTCATATTTTACCCTATAAATAGACCGCTGACGTCCTGTTATCGAATGTATAAATCAATGAAATTATTTTGATCATGCTTACCTCGCATGCAACTTCCGTCTTTCCGTGTAGAAGTGCAGCGGTCTTTACTGCGACGCTAACAAAGATTGGTTCCTATGCTCGGTTTTACAGTATTTATTCTAATACTCATCCGAACTCTCCTTGCACCTAGGCTTTTTATAACTTTGAGAATATTCCTCTCACCATCGTATTATTTCAATAATGGAAATGTAATAGAAACTAGAACGCTTTTTTGTTGTTGTTGCCAACAATATTGCGTCTTTTCCCAACATTGTTTATCGCCACGTGTGCCTTCATGTTTTACAATGGGCGAAATTTCTAATTTGCCGCTAACCGATTTGAATTATCGGCACATATGTAGCTTGTAAAGTGTGATTTTTAAGTAAGTATTACGATTCCGGCTTTTTTATTTTGTGACAAATAACACCTTTTATGAAATAGATAAAAATATTGTCTTCCTTTGGACCAGATAAAGATCTTGTACACTGAAAATCGTGCAATCGTGGCATATCGAAGAATTTGATGACAAGTTTTTTTGAAACTTTACCATGCATTTCACTGGAATGTGTGGTAAAGTTTCAAAAATGTCGCATGAAGGTCTTGATAATGCCGCGTTGCCCAACGATTACATGATTTTCAGAGTAAATTTCAAAAGAAAATTCCGTGTAGAAATGCAAATCCTCGTATCTCCCTGGTGTATCTTCTGTTAATTGTAAAACGTGTGCCTATTTCAGGTATATGTAGGTTCCAAATCGACGTTAGCCGAAGGCTCGACGAGCTTTGGATCAACGAGAGGAACTGAAAACGAAATTACCGAAATGGAAGTACGTACATTGAAAAAGCAGGCGGCAGAACGGTCCCTATGTTTTCTTTCTCCTTTTTTTTCGTATCTAGCCATTATCTCTTTAAAGTATCTCGCACAGAATTATACTAATGAACAAAGACAATGACGATTTACGTGCATTACACTATTGCAAACAAGCTTGACATTATTATCGCTAACGCTCCACAATGCGGCGAACCCTCTTCTGAATTATCTTCCCCTCCTCGGATTCCTGGCAAGGTCACATTCATGTAATAGTAAATGGGCGTTGAAATCGTTTCAACACCGCTTTAAGTACACTTAAAATGGACGATTACAGTAATACAAACCATTATACTATACATAGACACGGCAGATTGCGTTGAATACACCTACTCGGTCACAGTTTACGGCACGTATTTACAAAGCGTTTTTACGTTATATTTGACAAACCCGCAAGCAGCATCGGAAATGACAAAGTACTTGGATAATAAACGTATGCAAATTTGGGCAGGGGCTAATTGGACGCAGGGACTACATATACATATACGTATAATACATAACAGCACAGTATTACGCACTAAATATTTACAAATTGGCACCATAATTTTGTAGTTCTTGATCCTTGTTTAGCGAGACAATTGTAGAAATGAAGTAAAACCTAGCGCTTGCCTACAGGTGGGACAGAGAGATGTCCCAGGAATTGACTGTGCCTATCTGGCGATGGATACAGAGGAGGGTGTCGAAGTCGTGTGGAATGAAGTGCAATTTTCGGAAAGGAAAAACTTCAAGGCCCAGGAAGAAAAGATACAGCTCGTTTTTGAGAACCTCACGCAATTGGAGCACCCTAACATTGTTAAATTTCATAGGTATTGGACAGATACCCATAATGACAAGCCCCGAGTAAGTGTTAGTTATATATAACTCTGTACCTGAAAGGTCGATTGTCGTAACTGACATTTAGCAAATTATATAGCAGAGCCGAACTCAACTTGCATTTCTATAAATTTATATTTATTAGGATTTGTTCGGAAATGCTTTTTTTTTGTTTTTCCGTTCATTCTGCAGGTGGAGGAAAGTCCCATATTATGAGGTCGGCTCTTAATATGAGACAGCGGGATTTCTACTAAATTAATAGGCATCGTCTGTTGGTTTCACCGTGAATTCATTGCCCTTGGAGTGAGATCTATTTAGTGGAAAATTCATTGTTACGTTGTGCAATCGCCGCGAAAGAAGATTGTAATTGAATTTGGATGTTGAAAACCTGCTAGCTCATATTAGAAATCCCATCTCACAATAGGGCACTTTCCTCTACACTTATCTACCACTGTAAATTAATAGAGCGTTTGCTCGGGATAAGAACCTCAAAATTGATAATTTTCTAGTTGTTACGACAGTTTATTTCTCAAGTGCGGAAGTAAACGTACTATGGATACAATTTCCGTTACGTTTAGATAAATATCGTCTGCGTCTTTTTTTTAATTATTAATTCGTCTCCATATTATTCCGTAGGTTATATTTATAACGGAATATATGTCATCTGGGTCCCTGAAACAGTTCCTAAAGCGAACAAAACGCAATGTAAAAAAGTTGCCTCTACAAGCGTGGAAACGGTGGTGTACGCAAATACTTTCTGCACTCAGGTAATATACATATACAATATAACATATGTTAGACAACTTGATCTCTCAACTCATATTGCGTTGGAAATGTTTCAGTTATTTGCATTCCTGTTCACCTCCTATTATACATGGGAATCTTACCTGTGACACAATATTTATCCAACATAATGGACTTGTAAAAATTGGTTCAGGTAAGTGTTGTGTAAGAAGGAAGAAAAATAGAGAGAACTTCTCCTCTTGCTACATAATGTGTACAGCGATATCATTTTATATCTAAACAAAGACAGCATGCCTGAATTTATATAATATTATCTGAACTTGTGTGGTAAATTTAAATTACTACACGGTAGGATTGCTGTTCTCTGAACGAAAATAGTTAATATGCAACAGGATAAGGTTGTATGTGTGTGAGATATCTTTCATCTTCTCATTCACAGGGTTGTCAGAAACTTGCATCTACATTTCGTTGCAATTTCTCGTATTTTGAGAAATACAAAGACAGTAGCGATTACATTTCTTACTAAGTATTCTGTCTTTTTGTTTATATAAAGTGTTAGAGAAGATACAGGTCTTAGAAGGTATATCCACTGAAATGAGTGAGAAATAATCCATGCTAATATTTTTTGCTCAATTTAGTAATTCACCACATGTCTTCTAAGTGTCAAATCTCTTTTAGCATCTATATAATACGCATAAATGAAGTAGATGCTTTTAGATTTGCCATCATATGCTTATTTATTCATTACTCAGCCGAGACAAATAATAATTATGACTCAGTTCCTGAATGAACAATATGACAATATGATTCATTGTTGTGTGCCAATATAGGTGCTCCTCTAATGGTTTTGACGCACAAACATCATGGAAATATTTATTTACGTGCATATGTATATTAAGTTATGTCTTACAAAAACATTATTTGTTGTGAATGACTATAAGATA